CTTCACTGTTTGTCCCCTGCGCACAGGCGCTGCCCGAGAGGGAGCTGCCCAGATCCGTGCCAGGGCGGGGGTGGTCTTTTCGGGCGTGGCCCTGGCAGGTGAGCCCGGCCGCAAGACCTGCCCTCCGCCCCCAGCCCCAGGTGGATCCTCCCCACCGCTCTGGCAGGTGCGCCGTCTCTGGCTTCGCTCTCCTCCTGGAAGAAGCGAGTCATATTTTAGAGGCACGAAGGGGAAGCGAACGAAATGGTGCGACGCAGCAAAGCTCATCCAAGCCCGGGCGAAAGTGGTGGCCGGCGCTCGACCTTCCTGGCTCTGCCCTCACCTTCCGCACAGCGTCTGGCGGATATTGGGCCCGGTCAGGAGGTGCGTCTCTCCTCGGAGCTCTTGGGAGCAGGAGGTCGGACGAGCTCCCCCTCCCCCCAGGACCGACCCCTCGAGCGCGACCACACACCCCCCCCGGAGCCTAGCAGCTTTGCTTGGGCGGAGCGGAGCTTCTCTTTGATTCCCCTTTCCAACCGCTCTGAGACTTAACCATCGCCCCCCCCTACACCCCCACCCCGCAAGGAGTTGCTTCTCCCAGGACGGTCTCTTGCAGGAGACGCTCCCAGCAAGGGAGACGCCCTTCCTCTTCCTGGCTTCCCCTCCAGCTCCGTGGGTCTTGGCACATCCTCTGCCCTCCTGAGAATCTCTGGCGCCGCAGAAGCCGCATTGCCAGGACCCTCGTGGGTCACTTGGGCATCCAGAGCAGGTGGTATCCTCTCCCTCCTATCCGGCTGTGAAGCCTTGCACAAGCCCCCTCCCATGCGAAAGGGAGAGGAGAATGTGGAGCCCTCTTCGAAAGGAAAAGTGGCCCTTTCCAAAAGAAAGCTGGGAGAGAGGAAGGAAGGGCGCAAGGGAGGCGGGAGGTGGGGCTGCTTGTTTCCCTCACCTGAGGCTCCCTTGGAGACTTGGGCGCCCTGGGACGGCCGGTGGCCTTCTGAAGGCAATGCCCCAGACGCTCCACTCCTGATCCGGCTCTGGCAGGGGCTGCCCTGATCCGGCTCTAGCAGGGGCTGCCGGGGGGGGGGCTACCCTGGGTGGGATCCAGAGGCTTTGTCGGCTCCGCGTTCAGAGGCGCTTTTGTGGGCAGGAGCGAGCCAGCCTTTTCCAACCCATGTTGGATGAAAACTCCCACCATCCCCCACTGGCATGACCCTCGCTTTGTCAGAACTGGGACCATGAGCCTGGATGAGGAGGACCTGTCCTGGGGAGGATTCCAGGGGGAGGACTCCCATGGGAACTGCCCCTCCGATGGCCCACATATCTGAGGGGCCATGTCTGCCTCTTGGGGGGTGGGGGGAACCCACGTGTGACCGTTTTTGAAGCAGCCCAATTGCATGCATTCCTTTTTTTTAAAGTAAAAGTGTTCAGAGAGTGTGTGCAAGGCAGAGGAGGAGGGGGAGAGCCGCTGCACAGATGGGGCTGCGAGGGGCCTTCGTCTCACCCAAGCAGGCCCCCTTTCTGAGTCCAACCAGCTCCAGAGCCATACAGGCCACTCCGGCCTCTACAACCCAACCAGCCTGCAAACTGGCCTTGCGGGTTCCTTGCACTATCCTAAGACTACCCATTGCCAAAACTGCCAGTGACGAGTCAAAGGGTCCCATGGGAGGGGTGGCCTGCAGCACGAGGCTCGGGGATTGCCATCAATCTCATGGACCTGAGCAGCCCCTTGAGGGCTCACTCAGTGCATCTTCCACAGAAAGGGAGGCCAGTCAGGCATGTGCTCTGTCCTAAATGCACAGGGCAAGCCTCCGCCAGAGAAGCACCACCCATCTGCAAAACAGGAGGAAGAGGAGGAGGAGGAGGAAGCTCAGGGTCTCCCCTCTTTTGAAAAGGTACACCCGCCTTCTCATGCCGACCCTGAATGGATTCTGGCTCCTCAGATGCAGATGCCTAATATAGAGATTCAGGTGGATTTTGGGGCTCCAGTTTGGGCTGGAAGCTGGGGGGGCACTTAGGACAATAAGTGCAATTCACTCCTGACTGATTTGTGCCCAGAGCTGGATCAATTTGCAGGATGGGGTCACACTCCCTCTGAAAACGTCAGTGTGCAGCTTGAGGGTGCTCCTGGTTTGGCCTCTGAGCCTGGATGCCCAGATTTCAGCACCTTTGCACCCTTGAAACTAGTGTACCAGCTGCACCCATTCCTGGAGAGGTCTGATCTGCCCACAGTGACACATGCCTTCATGACATCCCGGCCGGAGGACTGTAATATTCTCTATATAGGGCTACCTATGGACACACTTCAAACCTCTGGTCTTGACCGATCAAGCCCTCAGCGGCTTGAGCGCAAGCTGTCTCAAGGACCGCGTCTCCCTTTATGAGCCTGCCTGGGTGTTCAGATCACCAGGAGAGGCCGCCTTCTCAGTCCCGCCACCTTCACAGGTGCGTTTGGCAGGGATACAGGACAGAGGGCCGCCTTCTCTGTGGCTGCTCCCAGACTCTGGAACTCCCTCCCACAAGAGGCCAGACCAGTTCCATCTTTGCTATCTTTCCACAAGCAGGCATAGACCTTTCTCCTCAAGCACGCTTTCTGTCAGTGACTGGCTGAGTGAGTTTTTTTTTTAATGAACGGTTGTTCATTGAGTAAGTTTTTAGTATTAGTTTTGTTTACTGTCTTTTCATGTAGTATTAGTATTTGTATAAGCACTGTCGTTAGCTTTAATATTGTCTTTTAATGAAGTAACCTTTCTTTTAAAGAGAAAAGCAGGGTAAAAATGTCTTAAATAAATATAAATACTTGTTGTTATCTGCATTAAATCACCTCTGACTTATGGCAAACTCATGGTGCTTCCTGCGGGTCCGGTCCTTGATAGCCCTGTTCAGATCTTGAAGACACAAGGGGGTGGCTTCCTTTAGGGAATCAGTCCATCTCATATTTGGTTTTCCTCTTCTCCTGCCCCCCTCAGCCTTTCCTGCCTTCTCAGGATGTACCCATAGTAGTAAGACTAGGACTGCAAAATGGAAACATCGATCATTTCTCCCACCCCGTTGATGTACGTGAAACCTGGGGACCACGGCTAGGGCAGTAAACGTACTGACTCCCAGACAGCCTGCCTGAAGGGCCTGCATACTAGCCCCATTTAAACGTTGCTTTTTCTAAACACAAAAACTGCTTGGCTAAAGCGATTCGTGCCCCAGATCTGAACCGATCTGTACATTTGCCCATGAATTGAGTCTGGCTTTGTCCTGCTTTGATCCAGACCTGATGCGAATTGGTCCAGATTGGCCTCTTTGGGTTGGGATTTGGGGCTTGTCCAAACACCAAGGGCATGGCCCTGGCTTGTGCACAGACTCGGCGTGACTGAGGACAGGATGAGGATGTGGAGAAAGTATCAGCCATCCCGTCATCAACCTCCCTGGCCCTTAGCAGACTTCTCTGCAGCAACACAAGCCTCCTGGTGATAAAGGAAGGCCTTGCAACGACCAAGATACAGTAATCCATTATCTGATGCAAACCTCTGCTCGGATGTTTCAATGGCTCTGCAGTTCATCACTGGGCTGACGTTCCCACAGAATGGGCTGATGTTGTGAAACAGGATGTCAAAGTCCCAGGTCTTCACCTCAAAGGCCTCTAAGACTTCAAACGGAGGAACTGAGGGGATGGCAATTGAACGCCACTGTCATTTTGACTCAAGGAAGGACGGAAGGAAGGAAGGAAGGAAGGAAGGAAGGAAGGAAGGAAGGAAGGAAGGAAGGAAGGAAGGAAGGAAGGAAGGAAGGAAGGAAGGAAGGAAGGAAGGAAGGAAGGAAGGAAGGAAGGAAGGAAGGAAGAAAGAAAGAAAGAAAGAAAAACCCTGTGGTCGGTTGTTGTTGCTGCTGCTGCTGCTGCTGTTGTGTACCATCAAGTTCTCTCCAGTTTAGGAATACACAATCTCTAAAAATGTCCTGTCCTCAATAGCCCCTGTTCAGCTCTTGTAAACTCAAGCCTGTGGTATCTTTTAGGGAGTCAGTCCATCTCGTATCTGGACTTCCTATTTTGCTGCTGTTGTCGACTTTTTCTACCATTACACAAGCTTTCTTGAATTAAAAATTACATCTTCAGGCATGCACCACTAACTTGTGGGCAGTGGAGAAATTACAAATGGATTTCCCAAAAATTCATGGAAAAAGTTTGCCGGACATCACCTTAAGGTGAGTTTAAAGCTAGTTACAGGCAGGTTGTAGGGGTACGGTTTTGGTTTGGGCCAAAAAGGAGGAGGCTTATGCAGAGCAATGGACTGCCTCTGTATGAAGTACTGAGTGGTAATCTCCAACCACCTGGTTACCAGGATGAAGCCCTGAGCCATGTCTCCACAGCCGGCCTGTGAGCAGCTTTTAACTCACCTGAGTGGAACGCCTGGCAAACATATGCCGTACCTTTTGGGGGACATTCGTTTATCATCTTTCTGCCTTGCCCACAGGTTACTGGTGCATGCCTGAAGAAAATAAAAGCATTTAACCATTCTTTGATTTTAGTGGTCTAATAAAGGCACTCCTTAAAGAAATGGGAGTGCCTGACCACCTTATCTATCTCCTGAGAAACCTATACGTGGGACAGGAAGCAACAGTTAGAACTGGATATGGAACAACTGATTGGTTCAAAATTGGGAAAGGAGTACAACAAGATTGTATATTGTCCCCCTGCTTATTTAACTTATATGCAGAATACATCATGCGGAAGGCTGGACTGGAGGAATCCCAAACTGGAATTAAGATTGCTGGAAGAAAGATCAACAACCTCTGATATGCAGATGATACCGCTCTGATGGCAGAAAGTGAGGAGGAATTAAAGAACTTCGTAATGAGGGTGAAAGAGGAGAGTGCAAAAATTGGTCTGAAGCTCTACATAAAAAAACTAAGATCATGGCCACTGGTCCCATCACCTCCTGACAAATAGAAGGGGAAGATATGGAGACAGTGACAGTTTTTACTTTCTTGGGCTCCATGATTACTGCAGATGGTGACAACAGCCACGAAATTAAAAGACACCTGCTTCTTGGGAGGAAAGTGATGACAAACCTCAAGAGAAATCACCTTGCCAACAAAAGTCTGAATAGTCAAAGCTATGGTTTTTCCTGTAGTGATGTATGGAAGTGAGAGCTGGACCATAAAAAAAGTTCCCTAGAAAAGACCCTGATGTTGGGAAAGGGTGAGGGCAAGAGGAGAAGGGGACGACAGAGGATGAGATGGTTGGACAGGGTCACCCAAGCGACCAACATGACTTTGACCTAACTCCGGGAGGCAGTGGAAGACAGGAGGGCCTGGCGTGCTCTGGTCCATGGGGTCACGAAGAGTCGGACACGACTGAACAACTAAACAACAACAACAAAGGCAGCTGCATTCTCCATTTGTATTGATGGCTGAAAAATCTACAACTGAGCCAGAAATGTCAAAATATAGGTATGCAGTGTGTAATCGAAATTGCTGGTACTCCTGAGCAGCTCATTCATCCAGCATGGAAGAGTCTAACGGGGTCGTTCCCATGCTCCTCCTCCCCAGTTCCTCGTCAGGAGAGCAATAACTGACCCTACGCTGTCAGAAGAAACATTTACTCCCCCCCTCCAGTGCACTGGCCTCCCCAAGGGCTTCGCCCTCCTTTCACTTTAAAATTCCCTCCCAGTTCAGAAACGGGGTGCCCAAGAGTGGGCTGAGCGAGGGAAGAGGTGCAGTTTTCTGCACGCAGAGAGCTTCCAAGAGCCAAGAGAGCTGTGTTCAGATCCTGCCACTGATTCTGAGACGTTTCTCTTGCAGGAGTGAAGCGGCTGCTCCTGCCCATAGCGCTGGGGCTGGTGGGCATTTCCCTCCTCCTCCTGGCTGCCGTTGTAGGACTTGGAGCCAAAAGTAAGTGCCTCCTGAGCTTTCTGTCACCTTTGTGGGAGGCCAAAAGCTGATGTCTGGCAGGGCCTGGCATCACCAGGAAGTTAGTTCCCCAGTTGCATTATTTATTGCTAGAGGTGGCCCTGTTTTCTTTGGAGCGGGGAGGTATGGGCTGGGGTGTGTGTGTGTGTGTGTGTGTGTGTGTGTGTGTGTGTGTGTGAGAGAGAGAGAGAGAGAG